GTGTGTGTGTGTGTTGTGTGTGTGTGTGTGTGTGTGTGTGTGGTGTGTGTGTGTGCGTGTGCGTGTGCGTGTGTGTGTGTGTGCATGCATGAGTGAGTGAGTGAGTGAGTGAGTGAGTGAGTGAGTGAGTGAGTGAGTGAGTGAGTGAGTGAGTGAGTGAGTGAGTGAGTGAGTGAGTGAGTGAGTGAGTGAGTGAGTGTGTGCAAGTGTGTAAGTGTGTAAGTGTGTAAGTGTGTGTGTGTGTGTGTTGTGTGTGTGTGTGTGTGTGTGTGTGTGTGTGTGTGTGTGTGTGTGTGTGTGTGTGTGTGTGTGTGTGTGTGTGTGTGTGTGTGTGTGTGTGTGTGTGTGTGTGTGTCTATATGTACGATGTTTTACAATCTCTACCTGAGAATGAGCAACTAAATATTGCGCACGTTCTCACATAATTGGTGACCTTATTTCACTATCAGTCATCTCCAAAATTTGCCGTAGTTACTAATCTGACATTCTACATACTCATCTACATCACCACTACAAAACTATATGAGACTGCAGTCCTGTGGGTAATTCTGTGTCCTGCAATCCTAGAGCAAAATAATTTCAGATGTCTGGATGTACCCAATCCCAACTATGTATTTATACCCTCAATTTTCAAAATCAAAATTAAAATCATTATACTGCATAGTGGCCCCAGATATGCTCCCAGAATTATGCCCGAGTGAGAATCAATATCAAATTGCAAAGGCAGTAAAAGTATACTTATAAGCATGAAGGATGGCAGATGTAATACTCATCAATGTCAAAAGTCACATATTTATATCTGGTACAATTATTTGATACGCAACAGACAAACCAGTGTACACAGCAACAAAATATGTTTATTCTTAAAGGAAATAACAATATCATCCCAAACAGATGTGTAATATAAAAAGTAATAGGGAAAAGAGGATGACATTAATAAAAATAATAGAGAACTTAATTACACAGACTCAACCACCACAGCAAGTCTACAATATAGATCAAGTTCCCACCAAGCAAAATGATCTGGAAGACAATAAATCGACACAAGCTGGGACACACGAGCTGAGAATATTGCTCTACCAACTCTGGAAACATGGTGTAAACTTGGGCTTCAGAAACAATTGCTTAATCAAGTCATGGGGAAAAAATGAAAGTAATAGTACTAGGTAGTAGTAATAATAAATACATACAATAGTTGAAATCAGAGATTCCCATACAACTAACACTTACCAGGAGTGGGGGGAGTGGAGCCTCGAGAGTTGGGACTCTTGCTATTGGTTAAAACATCATTTATCAATCCTAGGTTACCCGAAGACGAGTTTTTGGGGTAGAGCTTGGAGTTCTTCTGTTGGGTCTGCTGTAGGCGCAGGTTCTCGAGCTTGACAGGTGACGGGATGAACCCAACATCTGCACCTTCCTTCACCAGACGCCCAATCCACCAGTTGTTGTCATACTTCTCCTGCGAGATAATAAGGCTGAATACCTTGAACACATCTGTTCCTTACAAAATGTACAAACCAGGAGACATATCATAAATGCTAAATTCTTTTTAATACCCTTTTTGTGGTAAAATGTAGTAATCAATGATATATACGAAAACTATCTATTATACAGATTAAAGAAGATATTATTATGAAATAGATTTAAGAAAAAATAAAGAGAAAATAGCATAACTATCAATGTTAAATACTATAATACTTTTATATAACAATGAGTTGGCAGGTGAAATTACAGTTCCATGAAACAAGGCTAATGGAAAACCCACTATGATTACATTTTGGTTATTCAATTTGTTACACTGAAATATTACTAAATAGGAAAAAGGAAAATGAGAGAGAGAGAGAGAGAGAGAGAGAGAGAGAGAGAGAGAGAGAGAGAGAGAGAGAGAGAGAGAGAGAGAGAGAGAGAGAGAGAGAGAGAGAGAGAGAGAAGAGAGAGAGGAGAGAGAAGAGGAGAGAAAGAGAGAGAGAAGAGAGGAGAGAGAGAGAGAAAGAGAGAGGAGAGAGAGAGAGAGGAGAGAGAAGAGAGAGAGAGAGAGAGAGAGAGAGAGAGAAGAGAGAGAGAGAGAGAGAGAGAGAGAGAGAGAGAGAGAGAGAGAGAGAGAGAGAGAGAGAGAGGAGAGAGAGAGAGAGAGAGAGAGAGAGAGAGAGGAGAGATGAGAGAGAGAGAGAGAAGAGAGAGAGAGAGAGAGAGCAGAGAGAGAGAGAGAGAGAGAGAGAGAGAGAGAGAGAGAGAGAGAGAGAGAGAGAGAGAGAGAGAGAGAGAGAGAGAGAGAGAGAGAGAGAGAGAGAGAGAGAGACAGACAGAAAGAAATACAAAGAAATGACTAAAAATACCTAAAAATAAGATAAACATCTTTTTCCCCCTTATTTTGAATTGCACAAAAAAATAAAAAAATAAAGATCGCGCCGCCTTACAGCCACCACCCACCCCGCCCCTCCCTCACCTCCCCACCATACCTTAATGTGGAGGAAGTCCTTGACATCGAAGGAAATGGCCGATCCGTGCACTGGCGAGTCGTCATCCAGAGAACCATCATAAGCCACATTGGTGCGCACGGAGAACGCCACGGGTTTAGTCTGGAAGGGTGGAGCCGGATGAGGGTTTTTTTCTTCTTTTTTTTTTTAAGCGACGTTAGTGTTTTTTTTTTTTTTAATGGAATCGTTTTTGATATGTCGTGATTCTTTTTTTTTTTTTTTTTTTTTTTGAAGTTATATGAATGGTTTGAATTCTGAGGCTGTTTGAATTTCAATTTGAGGCTTTCAATATGATTGTTTTTTTTCTAGCAGAGACTTGAAGGTTTTCTATATTCTTTCACTGGTACTATTCTCTATGTGGGTAAACATGCTAAGTGCTTATTTAAAAACGCATACAAAAACAAGACCAAACAAAACCATAATGTAAAACGTACATTATATCAAACACTATGTAACTATATTTACACTGAATATATAATATTTATAATTCTTATTGTAAATTCTGGAAAATGATAAAGAAAAGGGAAGTAATGTCAATTTGATTAATCTCGATGAACATTTTCTCCTTTTTTGTATATTAAAAAATATATCCGTTCATGATGAAGTTCGCGCCGTTATACACGAGAATCTGACAAAATTACATCATTCTCCCAGAGAATTTTAGTAAACGTTATAAACAAAGTGCAGTCTGAACCAATGTATGAAATATATTTATCATATCCATAAATCAAATCCCTCTAATTTCTGTAATTGACTTTCGCAGAACATTTGCGCTTTTTTTTTTTTTTTTTTTTTCTAAAAATCGTAATGATGTTGGTCAGTGTGAATATTCATGTATTTGAGCGTGTGTGAGTATGAGTATGAGTATGAGTATGAGTGTGAGTATGAGTGTGAGTGTGAGTTTATGTGTGTGTTTGTGTGTGTGAGTGTGAGTGTGAGTGAGTGAGTGAGTGAGTGTGTGTGTGTGTGTGTGTGTGTGTGTGTGTGTGTGTAATGTGTCAATAAGCCCAATGGATATTTCTTTACAATTACCCAAACCTATTAAAAAAATTGAAAAAAGTTTTTTTTTTACTCGCATTTGATTTTTTTTTTTTTATCGTATTCCTTTGTAATAAGTAAGGATGTTTTTCAAATCATTTTATGCAACAGAATCACCCTAATATACTTACCTTTACATGCCGAAAGGTAATGCGGTAAATATTTAAATCCCGTTTTCAAAATCAAAATCAGATAATCTCTCTCACACGGGGAGAAAAATAACGAAAAGTCTTCTGGCTCCTGTGGCATTCCACACGAAAAGTTATTTAGCTGTACACTTTTGCAGTAAGACAGGAAATCAATTTGGGAAAGGGAGGATAATGATTTTTCTTCGGCAGTGGAACAATGGCGTCCAGTAATAAACCATGGATTCCATGAACAATATTAATATATATATAATAATTATAAATACATACATATATATATATATATATATATATATACATACATATATTATACATATACATATACATATACATATACATATACATATATATAATATATATATATATATATATATATATATATATATATATATACATAACAGAAATGCAACAAACTTTTTATCATAAAGCTTTCTGATGTCTTTTTCTTCCGGAGTCCAGACACGCATGGCGCGGCGCCACTGAACGTTCGAAACACCATAACGATCCTGGAAGCTGCTTTGAAAGACAAGCGGAACGTCGAGAAAAGCGACCGAAAACGCCACTGCCGTTCGCAGCAGATCTGGAAGATTCCATGAATTTCCGTGGCGCCGTAAGTCAATGTGTCGGCGATGTTCTTCTTTAATGCACGCGGCGACGGGTCTTGTCTCGTCTAAGCTACAGTGCTAGTTAGTAGTCACACCGTTCGTCTAGCTACGGCACCGCACTCGCATCCTGGGCATTGGAACACACTCGAGGCGCTGTGAGTCAAAGCAACAGGGCGTTACAAGCCTAACCTAGATACGTTCATCTACAACGGCATGTTGCAATCACAGAGTCATTTGCAGTGATGCAAGTTGTACACACGCCTCACCTCACAGCAAACTCTGAAAAACTTACTAAACAGTGCATGACATCGATGACATATATTGAGCAATGCTGACAAACAAAAATGTGTTCATTAATCTATCGCTTCATACATCTCCAGGTGTGCTTGTTCATATGTCTGGGTTACAGTTATATGCAAACACATCATGGATCCACTGCCACCTGTGACAAGAGGGTAGTCACAAAGTGTAATGATTGGATATAGACTATATGCTACAATGGCTAACATACAATACATCAATAGCAATACCTAGAAACATATATTACCTAAACATTATCTAGTACAAAACCTATATGTGTTACGACACCTCGTACAACATGGGCATTTTCCGTCCTACCTACTATATCTAACAGGACGCATTTGACCGAATATTTTCTACTGACGGATTCAAACAACTCCCGAAAGGTACAGCCAAGCAAAAAATGCACAAATATACACAAACACACTCTCTGTGGTACTTACTACCACTAGCTTCCATATGATTGATAATGTAACCTAATAAAACAGACAAACATATGAATAGTGACATCGGATACACTGAAACTTGCTAACAGGACCTGTACAGATCGGTTAAATTCTCATTCTCGGGCAACAAATACACACATTTAGCCAATGCAAATTCCCAATCAACTAACGAAACTGCAACCAGATGCAAGCAGAATATACACTACAGCCATACGCCAAACAAAGATTTCTAGGCAAACGAGCCATATACACTAGCTGAAGAAATGTACTAGCCTCGAAGCCATCAAGCTAAAATAAGCTACTATTTTATTACCTTTGAGGAATTATAGGACCAAGAAAGACTAAGAAGATTCTCACATACTTCCTAACAGGTGATACTTGGTAGCCACACAAAGACACAGCAAAATGCAAGTGAGAAGTACTAGCATAAGACAAAAAAGTAACCACAAAATAATGAATTTTACAATACTAAAAAAGAACCATAATGATAATAATAGTTATAGAAAAGATGATGTTAGAAAATAACAAAAATAGGGGAAGTGAAACAATGATAATATCAATAACTACAATGTCATTAATATTAACATTCATAATAATCATTATTATCAATATCATTAGTACTATAAACAATATCATCATATTCTTACATTATAAATATCACCATCATTATTCATTATTATTATTATTATTATTATTATTATTATTATTATTATTATTATTATTATTATTATTATTATTATTATTATTATTATTATTATCATTCATATTTATATTATTTATTATTATTACTACTATGAATGTTATTATTACCATCATTGTCATTATTATTATTATCATCATTATTTATATCATTATCGTTATCATTATTATTATAACTATTGTTATTATTATTATTATCGTTATTATCGTTATTATTATTATCATTATTATTGTTATTTTTATCATTATCATTATTATTGTTATTTTTATCATTATTTTATTTATCATTATTATCATCATCATTATATTATCATTATATTATCATTAATATTATTATCATCATTATATATTATTATCTATTATTATCATTATTATCCTTATATTATTATTATTCATTAGTATATTATTATTATTATTATTATTATTATTATTATTATTATTTTTTATTATTATTATTATTATTAATTATTGTTACTATTATTATTTATTATTATTTTTATTATTATTATTATTATTATATTATTATTATTAATTATTATTATATCAATTATGAATATTATTATCATTATTATCATTATCATTATATTATGATATCATTATCAATTATATCATTACTATGGCTATTATTATTATCATCATTATTATTATGATGATCATCATTATCACTTTCATCAAAATTATCATTATTATTATCATTATCAACATTTTTATCATAATCATTATTAGTATTACCATAATCATCATCACCAATAGCATTATCATTATTGTTACTACCATCATCTTCATCAGCATAATTATTATTATTATTATTATTATTATCAGTTATTATTATCATCATCATTATCAATATCATTATCAACATTCCCATCATTATTACCATTGCTATCATTATCATCTTTATCAATATTACTACTATCATTATTATCATTATTATTATTATCATTATTATTATCATTATTATTATTATTATTATCATTAACATTATCATTATTAAAGTATTAGTACTAGTATCATTAGCACTATTATCATTACTAGTATAAAAAATAATGACAATAATAACAACAATAATAACCAAGGAAATATTAGCAATAATATTGTAATAATAGTATTATTACTAATAATAACAATAATGATGATGATGATGATGATGATGATGATGATGATGATGATGACGACGATGACGACGAAGATGGCGACGACGACAACGACGATAATGATTATTGTTATAATGATAATGATAATAAACATTATGATGATGGTGATGATGATGGTAATGATAACAACAGTAAGAAGAAAAACAACACTGATAACAATTGAAAAAAATGCAGTAACAGTAATGATAGTAACAGTAACAATAAGAAGAGTAATCATAATAATAATAGTAATATTAATAAGAATAATAAGAATATTGATAATACTGATAACTAGGAATAATTAAAATAATAATAATAATAATAACAATAATAACAATAACAATAATAACAATTATTATTATTATTACTACTACTACTATAATAATAACAATAATAATAATAATATGATGGTGATGATGATAACTACTACTACTACTACTACTACTAACTACTACTACTACTACTAGTAATAATTATAACAATCACAATAATCTTAATAATAGCAATACGGCCCTGTGTTCCATCATCGCCAACAACAGACCAGACGACAACAGTGCCAACAACAGAACAGACAACAGTGCCAACAACAGTGCCACTCTCATAATCTTACTAGACATCTGGATCAAAACTCCATGCTTGTATCTGTAAAAGTGGCATCTGAACGAATTAAAACAGCACACACTCGGAGCATCAAACACAACAGTCACGGGAACATAAGTGCAACGACATCAAAATCAATTGCAAACGGTCAGGCACTAACTACCATGAAAATCCACACGCCATTGCAAAGAAAAGCTGCTTCCGTGGACTACGCGGGGACTAGCGCTGTATGCAAGCTAAATGGAAGTATCACGCTACATATGCCGATCAGAAGCAATCCTTATTATTACTACTCTATAGCCGCTAGTCAGCAATAGCGTCATATTTATAAGGAGCTGAGTATAGGGTGTGGGATCTGAGAGCTCCACAAGTCATCTTAGTGTACTGGTCATGACACACCTTTCTACTAGTCAAGATGGTGTACTAGTCAAGATGTTGTCGCATCTAGTACTAGTCAGGTGAGTGGACTATGAGAATAATAGTCGTGATCAGTACTACTTCTAGTCAAGAGCAGTTACGTAACTAGTTACTAGTCGAAAGCAGAGCCATACCTACATATTAGTCAAAAGCAGTGCTATACAAATGCACTAGTCAAGAACAGTGTCACATCCAGGTAAGTTGTCAGAGCAGAGCCACACGGAGACGCTCTCTAACCTAAAACAGTGCCCGATGAGGGGGAGAGGTAATGAGAATATATTTTAAATATAAAACCAAGAAAGGAAAGCTGGTTGCAGCAGTGCCCACCTATCACAAGATCAAAAGACACAACATATGGTAAATGGGTCAGTGCCAGCCTGTCACACCCAGGCACTATCTAGCTGGAGCAGTGCCATCATCCTGCCAGACTCACCCTGGCTGCCTGAAGAGTGACGAATGCCTGGCCCTCCGTTCTGCGCCTGACCCCGCTGTCCCGATGGTGCCCCTATTGACGGAACCACTTGAAGTGTCTCAGTAGGTTCTCGCCGCTGCACCAACGGCTTATACGTGTATATAGAGGTCTCGCCCCCACACTCTTATGTGTGTGTATACGGGCCTCATCCTCAGGTTTATAGGAGTATGTATGGGTTTTATCTCCATTTTATATACATGTCTTGTGTCTAGTTTTTTATTCTCGTGTGTATATTGCACCAGTCTTGTATGTGCGTATATATGTATGTCATCCTCAGCTCTAATATGTGTATGGTTGTATATATGGTATATTCCCTTTCTTATATGAATAACCATACACTGGATCAGTAGGTCTTGTCCTTAGTTTGTATATGGAGGTACATATAGGTCCTAACCCTTGTTTCAAGTGTATAAACAAGTCTCATCTGTCAGTCTTGTGTCCTATTTCCCATTACCTCCTTTTCTTTATTGTTATATTTGTGTACTGTTTTTGTCTTTTCTTGTTTTGCGAGATGTTCATATATACAGTATAAAGCTCGTTGGTGCTCGGGGTTGCGAGGAGGATCAGGCATTTCAATTTGCAATGACTCTCTCGTGTATATTTTTCTTTTTCATTGCTTAAGGAAACTTTGGATTAGGTCCTAAATACATATATATAAAAAAAGATAAATGTGCAGTGGGCTACATAACATGCTCTCTGTCTAGTACGGAAAATTGACCAGGCCTTCTACGCTTCTAAATGAAAATTTTTGAAAAAATATAGAGGAAAAATGGAATTCCTCGTGTCCTTACAGGGGTTTGCAAACAAGCTAAACACACAGACGCTTGGCGAAGGGAAGGGGTAAGGAGGGGGGAGGGGAGGTCCACAGATAGGGGAGGGGGGGAGGGGGGGGAAAGAGGGGAGGGATAGGGGTCACCGTGCAGGGTTCCTACAGGCGGGTGACCAGGGGGGGGGGGGGTAAAATGGAAGGGGTAGGGGGAACGGAAACATTCATCATGGGGAGATAAATTATCGTATAAAATTGAACGCTGTGTTTAAGTTTAGCAATCGTTATCTATTTATATGAGTTGTTTGTTTTAATCATACTGTAATTTAACTAAATTACCAGTACTGATCAATCACACTGATAGTTGGCAATCTTCTCTGAAAGCGTAATCCTAAGTTACTGCGTGTCGTTACATCAATCAGGTTTTGTAATTCAGTGCGTCTGTTAAGATCTATTCATCTCAATCCGGAAAAAAATATAAAGCACTAATAAAAAAATATATCATTAGCAACGTTTACTTATGATGTCATAACTGGAAAATTATCTGTGATCACAATATTAACTATAGCTTGTGTTTATTCTTCACATTGTATATATATATACACACATACATTGCAAATGCAAACGTGTGTGTGTGTGTGTGTGTGTGTGTGTGTGTGTGTGTGTGTGTGTGTGTGTGTGTGTGTGTGTGTGTGTGTGTGTGTGTGTGTGTGTGTGTGTGTGTGTGTGTGTGTGTGTGTGTGTGCGCGCGCGCGCAGAGATCCAAAAACAGCATAAGAAAAAAACTAAAGACAGCGAGTTAAAAATGTGATCACAGCTTAACCTTTTTCTAAATTCTGTGCATTAGTAAGAGCGATCTGAAAGTTACCGCAAGTTATCTTATGTGTTCGGAAAGGGAGCT